ACGGACATTTGAGACGTGGCTGGCCTAAATGAGACACACAGAAGGTAAATATACAGACAGACAACAAACGCACAGAGACATATTAAGTCATATTTACACATTTAGGTCATTCGTTCATAACACCACATTTAGCTGCATGAAAGAATACAGGACAATCGTTAAAATTAATTAGACTCTTGCTTTAGCATGAGACACAAGGAGATTAGAACAGCAGTATATTTAAGGTAGAGGAGCTCTATTATTGAAACTAGTATTATTTAAAGTTATAGACGCGGAGAAGTTTAGAATTATTGATTTTGACTGCATGATCTTGGTAATACGGATATTTAAAGCAGTGTTTTCAACCTCTGAACCGTGGCTCGTTTCTCATTTAAGAACAATCACATGCACAGATGAAACTGGTGCTAGGAAGAGAACTGCAGCTTTTAATGGACGCTGCATTTAGTACAAAATGGTTTGTTCAGACAATTAAAGTTTGAAAAATGATTTAAAGCATTTCTGAATTTTGGCTAAAGGTGATATTGGATCATTTCTGGTAACACATAGACGCAACACTGTTCATTGGTTGAAAACAAAGATGTAGGGACATTTTTTGAAATCTTTTATGACATGTTTCTCTTCCAAATAGCTAAATTAGAAACAATTAGGACAATTATGTCTTTGATAACTGTTGGCCGTTTATCTGAGACATGATTGGTGCAAGTACACACACATAAAACAATGGTCTTTTCTCCACATGAACGTGAAACAAAGGTGAAGTATTAAAGTTTGAAACTAATTTACATTTTTAAGGAATCCGAACTGGCTTTAAAAAAAAAAAAAGGGAAAAACATTTATTGCACGTGCATGAGTTTTTTTTTAGTAACAAGAGCTCATTAAAAATATAGGGGACACAGTCTGTGATAAGCCCGAGTAAAGACCACGTGGTTTAAACACTAAAGTTTGAAATGGATCCTTTTAGGAAAAATCTCTCAAAGCTTTGCATGTTCTGCAGGCTCTGAAAGTTGCAACTATAAAATAGCTCATGAGACAATTGTAATTGGACATGGAAAAATATAACAAAGTTAAAATTACAGGCCTCTTGTGTTGTCTATATGTTTGTGTATGTTATATGTTTGTGTATGTTATATGTTTGTGTATGTTATATGTTTGTGCGTCATGTCCAATACACTACGTTGACCTTAACAAACTGGACCAATACTAACGTGGGGTGTTGTGAGTGTGTTGGGGAGTGGACGAGGAGTGCTGAACGGAGAATGGAATAACAAAAGTTTTCTGTAATGTTTTAATGTGATCATGGAATAATTATTTTTTGTCAACAGCATACGGTGTAAGTACTAGAGATTCAAAGATGACAAGCTTTATTGAACAGGTGTAAAAGTGAGAGTACTCTGAGGAAAGTACTCTGAGAAAGTACTCTGAGATGAATACCTTGCTGAAGGTACTGGGAGCCCCTCCCTCTGCTGTTTGTCCGGACAGTGATTCGGTCCAACCGCAGTGAGCGGTCATTGGGCGGAGGACAACTTTGGTTTGTAATTCACATTTAGGGGAGTATAAAATTAGAAACATACATATTGTTAAGTCTGTATTTGGCTACAGCCTCTGCCCTGATGCCACACACCGTCTGTCAATGCAGTTATGTTTTGCCCAATTGGATTGATTGACAGGCCGCACCATGCGAAGAGAGGAAAGTGGGCGTTTCTTGTGTTCTAATGTTTGTTTTTCAGATGAAAGATAAACTGCACCTGCTTCAGGGATAACACAGTAGTATGGATCATAAGGAAAATGAGCCTCTACTTTGGCACCAAAGCCCACAATATGAATTGAGGACGATCCGGGAGGAACAACTGAAGATGATTGGAACAGTAATCTACACACACACAGATGCATGTTTTATACTTTGGACCACGACCAACAGAGGGAGTATAGTAATGTTATTGTCATAGGTGGTCATGGTCCTTAACCTTCTAAATCATTAGAAAGAAGTGTAAAACATATATTTACAAGAACAAATAAATAATAGAAAGGGCAGCCTAAAAAAGCAAAATGGGAAAATTATTAAGTAATTTTCGGAGTTGCCAAAATGAAATAAAATTCTATATTTGTCCCATAGGGGGTCATTCTAAATTTAGTGTTGTGCAAATTTAAAAGGAGAAATAATAGCGCTTATAACATCAAACAGATCTACTCTTTAAGATAATAGATCATACAATAATAGAATAGAATGAAATAGTCTGGAGCTATAATGTCATTGGATTCGAGGAGCTATAGGTTGAAAGGTCGCTAGGAAGAGGTGTCAGAATAAACAATAGTAATAATAGTTAGACTAGTGAATAATCAAAATAGTTCTATTGTGGAAATAAGTATCAATAAGGTCAAATTGTTCTAATAACTAAAGTAAAAAGGAATCAAATGGAGTCAGATTTTAGATGTTTCTGTTTTCCACATCTGTAGGAACTGGTGCAGAGGTGTTTATAGAGAGTAGTATTAAAATGCAGACATAGAACGACAGGCTTTAACACAATTTTAAATCTAAAAATAGCTCAAATATAACATTGCTCTTGATGCAGCCTCTGAGAGCTGCTCCATTGGAGAACAGGTTAAATGTTATTGTTTATTACAAACAGCTGATGTATTTACACATATTAAGTTTGGGACAACTCTTTAAACAGTTATAAGCAGCGGACAGAAGCCATGAATGTGCTTTTGTTTATTAAATAATTAATTTCATAGCCATATAATCGTAGAGAACGGTTTTAAAATAGTTCTCTTCCTCCCGCTCCCTTTCAGGCAAATTGAATAGATTCATGTTTTTAATATTGGAGAACGACTGTGTTGTTTTTGGAATTGTCTGAAATACAATACATAGAATAGTGATTTGCAGAACAAGAACCAGCCAATGAAAAATCGTCTATTGCCAATGCAATTGTTACAATCAGAACTCAAAAATTGGGAATATGCTTTGGCTCAAACTACAACCAAGATTTGGAGTCACAATAGAGTGTAAAATAGATAGATGCTTTCAAAAATAGAGATTATTTTTAGACAGGGCCAATATCAAACGGTAAAAAAGACCATTTCCTTCATATTATGTCCAAAAGTAGTTACTTCAAAAGTAGATAATGTTCATGAGTGTAGCCTAGATTAATGTAGCTTAGATTAATGAGATAGATTAGAACCAACAGAGATTCAAAAACATTTAAAAGCATTTTGGTTAATTTGAATATAGCACAAAAGTAGATATTTAGGTATTTTTGAGAATTTTAAGAGCTGTCGATTTGTCAGCAACAGATTAGAGAATCAAAATACCGTTGTATAGGGACTGACCCCAGAGAAACCTGCTAAAATAGATTAGCTCCTGTAACGATAATACCAATTTGATTAATGATGAAGAATCAGAATGACACAGCGGTGGTCATCAAAGAGTTTTGTGAAGGAATGTTTCGAATGTGGTTGTGTGTTGTATTCTTTCTGTATTAACTCTTCACAGATATCAAGCCGGAACTAAGCGCTAAGTATTGATGATAAACGACGATGTGGATTGTGACCTAATTTTTTAATCAGGTCAAAAGAGGGAAACTGTTGTATATTTTAACTATGCAGATGTGAATATTGGCTGACCCTGATTTGAACTGTCTTTTCCTAAAGCAAAAAGACCTGGTTTCCCCATGTTCCTTTGTTAGTCCAAAGTGCATGGGTGAGTTAATGATAGGTAATCTGGGGGGGGGGATTCTGCTAATCCTGAAGGAGGGGGACCCAGAGAGCCTTCTGCCTTATCTCAAAGAAGTAATAAATTTGGGGAGTGGTAGTGTGTGTGAATGATTCTGTTTAAGGTACGGCAGACAGAGGGGACATGATGGAAGAGGCCGGACCCAAGTCCTGCCTGATACGACACGCCCCCTGCTTCCTGAACATGGACTGATAATGCTCTGGCTTGAGAGGACACAGGAGAATGAGCCGAGGGCGAGCCAGGGACATGCATAGTTTTAGGAGCCCTCTTTGTTGGAATTTCTGTATCTGATTGTAAAGATAATTAAATACAGATGTTAAAACTTGGAGATCTGTTGTCATGCCTCTGCATCAACTCGAACACGTCAGTCAAGGGAATTATTGACTTCAATATATATTTTTTTATACTTTATTGTGTCATCTTTATTCGTTCACACTTTTTTCTTAATACATACAGCTTAACAAGACACATTTTAATTTCTTTTTTCCTTCCCCCCCCACTGTGCTCCCCTTGTGTCAATAGAAGGGTATAACAAAACAAAGCAAAACAAATACATAGATACATAAATAATATAATAGATTAAATAAAATAAAAAAATTGAATAAAAAAAAAAAAATGAAAGTAAATATATAGAATACTCTAAACAATAGATGATTATTCCTATGGCCTTATGTTGAATAGTTTTGACATCATACTGACAAATAGACAGAATGTTGTGTTGGTTTAGTCAGTCGTCCTCTACTGTGTCCATGTGTCCAATGTCCATATTTGTTGAATTATATATACATATACACACCCGTACACACACATATATACATGTGTACATACATATACACATACATACATACACACATGCACAAATACACACATGCATACATCCACATTTACACGCATACACATACATACGCATACATAATAGGATTTTTATCAACTTTTTATCTTGATATTTGAACTTTTTAGAAACTGGTCTCAACTGGTGTCAAAAACAATTCTAAACAGTCATCAGGGGATCTGTCCAGACAAGAAAACTGGTCACATGTGTCAAAACTGTGACGACTTGGACCTCACTCTATCACTTTCTTGTCGTGCCGTGTTTCGGGGCAAACCCCAACCTTCACGCCTACATACACGCCCACCAGCCGCCACCAGGCCTCTGTGTGTGTGTGATCAGAGTGAAATTTGACATGCAAAATCTGCTAAGAGGAACTTGACGATGCGGAGCAGCTTTTTATCACATAGTTTCATTCTCGCGCCGGAGCTGCTGCCGGTGATGAGGATGGTGCCAACCGTGTGGGCTGCAATGACATATAAATGCACAGGCAACATGGACAAAGCACTAGGTCTGCAGGGTTCAAGACTTGTCAATAATCCAGGTGGTAATGATGGTGAGTTCAAAAGAATATGAGACTTCTGCTGTGTGTATACTCTAACCGTGTTTAAAAATAAATCTCCTTTTTTTTGGTCAACTAACAGATGTGGATCTTCACTTTGCTTCTCTGTGCGGCTGCAGCGCATGGACTGGACCATTTTCCACAGAAATGTAAGATGTTCTGTTGCTGTGGTCGATTTTACCTAACCCTAACCCTGCCATTGACGTATTTGTCTGAGACCCTCTCTTCGACTGGGGATTACAGGACAACAAAAATAGCAAGAAACAAACTTATTTTTGCTGATGAAAGTACACAATCCAGCCTTTCAGAATCTGGTTTCATATTTCACATAGTCTTAGGAAATAATATTCTGTGAATCTTGAGAACCAGTGAAATCATCAGAAACGGCTGGCAGTCAGTGTATATATTAATACATATAGACATTTTCTCTCTTCTTTCACATGCCAAACATTACACACATATTTTATCTTGTTTAGTCCTGGTTTTGGCTTGGGTTTCATTGAGTTTGGTGCTTGTTTTGTGTCATCTAATGCTGGTTTCCTAATCAATTAAATCTGGTTGGTATAAGAAGGACCAGATACAAGAATATCATATGACCAAAATATATGGTTGATCAATATTCAGACAATTACAGATATTACAGCTCCAAGGCGGGGAGGGGGTCCAGCCCATGAGTCTGGGCCAGGATCAGAGACCAGATTACAGTCTCTGATCTCACAATGAGACAACGGGTGAATAGCAATGAACAGACTAAAGCTGAAGCTAGGAGGCTACACTGCAAAAAGTTACATTTTGCACAAAGTAATTTGTCATTCTTTTTAGACCAATGGCTCCATGTGTTTTTGATCATTTCAAAACACGTATCAATTCTCTGATCTGTAAAGTCCTCCGCGGTAACTATTGTTGTGTTTTGAATTGAATTGAACTTTCTTTGTGGTAGATGTGACCGCGACGCAGCAGGCCACTCTGAGCTGTGAGAACGCAGATGGAGAGGTGACCTGGACGCTGAACGGTGAGGTCCTGAAGGACAGGGCCTTTGGGGGCCTGGTGCGTGTGGACGGCCCCTCGGTGACGGTGGAGGAGGTGGATGATCCGGTCCTGGGGGAGTATGCCTGTTGGAGAGCCGGGAAGAAGATTTCCTCCACGTATTTACTGCAGGAAGTGGAGGAGGCGGACGACCTGGGTAAGAGAGTGACGTTTATACTCTACTTTATACTTGCACACTGGGATTAATATCATGTTACAGTCAAAGATTTAAAAAAAAGAATCAAGAAAAATGACACGTACTGTACTTTCAAAGTGACATGTACATTTCTCCAGTGTGAGATCAATAATCTACTATCTAATTTTATCGTAGACTGTTTTAACTGGCTGACAATAAAAGGTTTTAGCATTTGTTTAACACATATTTTTGGGGGTAGCTTGTGCTTGATTCCAGCTCTACACAAGCCTTTTTATGTCGATAGGAAGATTCATCTTGTCTTCCGAGTAGAATAAGGTTTCCCCTACCATTAAAAACATCTCACCCAGACACAAAGGGATTGTCCTTCTGATAGTAACCAGAGATGATGTGATGGAAAGTCAGTTTTTTACCCTACATGGCTAGATTTCATACAAAGACCTCGAGGCCTCTTGTAGAAGATGCGTCCGTCTTTTTTCAAGGCCTTCCAAAGAGCAGAACGCTAATGTAAATATACTACAACCATATTCTATCCGGGCTCCAAACTCTGCAAGCACATAGAGAGATAGATAGACAATATTTATTTCAGAACCTGCACAATCATCATCATCGTAAAAATCAACATCGCAGACAGATACAAGTGCATTGTTTGAAAAGGAGGTGAATGAAGCAAACGCGTATAGAATTCCAAACCCCCTCACACTTTCAACACAAAGTACATACAAGATCATTCATAAACAGCTGTAAACTTGGACAGTACATAGAGTGAACTAATACATGACGCGGCCACAGAGACAAGACAAACAAGACAACACACACACGCACACACAACACACCACAGACACAAGCCCAAACACTCTCAGACCCTACATTGGTCCCGGTCTGATCATACTATCTGACCCTGAACCCTGAGTCTCCTCCTGGTTCTGCAGATCAGTGGTACCTCATGTGGAAAGTGGATATTTCCTTAGTTTACAGGATGCATCGTGGGATTTAAAAGAGATTTGTTTTTGCAGAATCCCTGAAGTGTCACGCCAAGTCTTATGACTGTGTGTTCACCTGCATCTGGAGGAACAGTGGATACAGCGTGGCTCGTCTTCTCCTGGACCCAAACTGGTAAAAATAACATCATTAACTCATTAAAGAAGACATTTCATTAGCACTATTTTGACCAGTAATAATGAGACTGTATTTTCGTCGTCACCTCATGTTTTAGAACGTGAATTAATATCTTAAGCAGAAAAAGGACGGTGACAGCTTTTTGGTAATTCTCTGTGCTGCCACCAGAGGGAGGAGTTTAACTTCTTTTGCATTATTCCAGTTTTGAAAATTACCAGCTAAAAACACAGCCATGCGATTGTCATTCACCTGATAAATTATTTAAACTCATTTAAGGGCACTGTATTTTTGTTTTATACGCCAGAAAAGTGCTCTGAGTGTGATGCCATAACGGTACGATGACATCATACTGTTACCGGACTGAGACAGGAGCTTTGAGACAGAAGGGGCGGAGCTACACGTTTGATGATATCAGTGTGGGTTGGTTTTGGTGGAGGAACAATGTCGTAACAAGGGTGCAAAGATTAAACAAGATTATAATTTGAGATAAAACAGATTAGAGAAACTTTATTTGTCCCACTTTGGGGAAATTTTGCAGCTTTGACCAACTACTCAAAAGTCAGATTTTGCCAGAAAACTTTGCCAGAAAACTTGTCCTATATAAAAGGTTCAAGATTTTAGAGGCCTTTTGCGATAGTAGTTCAGTTGGTAGAGCATTGGCCTTTGAGCCAGAGGGTCGTGGGTTCGAGCCCGACTTTCACAATCGTTTCCCACTGTTTGCTGTCGTTGTGTCCTTGGCAAGACACTTAACCTCTGGGAACAGCAGCCACAGTGGGGCGGCTGCGGCTGTAAAGTGCCAAACTGCCGTTGTGTCCTCAGGCAAGACATTTCACCCCCATTGCCTAGAATGAGTCTGGTGTGTGTGTGAATGGTTGGTGGTGGTCGGAGGGGCTGATGGCACATACTGGTTTCCTCGCTTCTGTCAGTGTGCCCCAGGACAGCTGTGGCTACTGTAGTAGTTAATCACCACTGTGTATGGAGTGAATGAATAATGAGGTGTAGAACGTCTTTGAGTGTCCAGAAAAGCGCTAAATAAAACCGATGCATTATTATTATTATTTTGCAGTAAAACCACATTGGAAAAACTGTGCAAGAACACCCTGTGTGCACCAGGATTGCATGCATATAGATCATAGATATCATTTAAATATCTATCTCCCTTTCTTCCTGTAGTGAGAGTGAGTCATGCCCGTGGGTGACCAGCAGGGGGCATAGTACGTTCCACTTTGAGATGTCCCACTCCCTGTCTCCGTACGCTGAGGAGGTCTCCATGCAGGAGCTCAGAGTGGAGGCCCTCAAACACTTCTACATCCTCAAGACGACCAAGCAATTTTTCCTCCGAGACATCAGTACGTTTTGTCACTTTGTCCACTTTAACGTAATAACTATGAAGAACTGAACGCTGTTGCTCAGTTTCAGCCTTGTGTAAGATTTGGTTTAGTCATGTATTAGGAGTAGTAGTTTATTTTCTGTTATTTTATGTGAGTAAACTTATATGAGATTAGGTCTTGCTAATTAACTTACTATAGATTGAATCCATTCATCGATTCATCAAAGATCCATCCAGGAATTTTCTTTGGCTCTCTGTGCAAACAAGTCAAAAGTAGAGAAAGAATAAGGCATAAAAAACATTTCTAAAGTATAAAAACATTAAATTCAGTCTACATAGAGGCCTGTCACTATATCAACTTATCATTCAATAGTTGATGGAAGGAAGAATATGTTTTGGGGGACAGTGTTTAATGTCTGAATATTTCCATAGATATTTGCCGTTTTTTTGTAGGACAATCACATTTTAGCTGTGTAAGGGATCAAAGAGTAAAGGCTAAATTTGGCTTAATTCTACTGTATATTTTCTTACCGAATGCCTTTCAATGCTTTGGAGAAACCAAAGAATTCAATTATTGCTTCTGGATACTTTGATTCTGTGTTTATAAATCCAGATAACAGTAATATGAGGACTGACCAATCACGGGGGAACTCCAGCTTGAATTAGCCATCATATTAGCAACAACTGTCAAAACAAATGCCCATATAAGGAAATTAGCTCTTGCTAGCTTGAGTTCAAAATCAGCCTCTTCCGCATTAAGGCTAACACTGACGTCAGCGCTAGTTCAGTCCATTAATATTACACTGGTTGCAAACTGGTTGAAATATTTATCGGGAAAAGAAAGGTATTTGAGCTTTAAAGTGATCTTATTGACTACTACCACTGCTACTACTACTAATACTACAGCTTAGTAATCACATGTTTCCTCCTCTTCCAGTCAGACCAGACAGCCCCCGTGTGCTGGGACATGCAGAGGTCGGACCACAGCTGAGAGTGACTGTGGCCCCTCCTGAGACCTGGTCCAGTCCCCAGAGCTTCTTCAGCCTGGAGAATGAAATAGAATACGTCCTGAAGGATAACGGAGAGGTAAGCGGGAAGATTATGTTTGAGTTCAGAAAATAATCCAATATAAAACAGTTACAACCGCAAGCAGAGATGAAGGTTTTCTCATGTAGCCTACTTGAACTTGAACTTGTTCGTGCATGTGTGCCCAAGCCTTTTCTAATATGGTCAGCTAGAATGTGTCGGCTGTGTTTAAACGAAACACAAACATTGTTTACTAGAGGTGAAGATTTATATTAAAGCTGTGTAATGGAAACACACAATTAAGTAGAATAGAGTAGTATAGAGTAGAGCAGAGCAGAGCAGAGCAGAGCAGAGCAGAGTAGAGTAGAGTAGAGTAGAGTAGAGTAGAGTAGAGTAGAGTAGAGTAGAGTAGAGTAGAGTAGAGTAGAGTAGAGTAGAGTAGAGTAGAGTAGAGTAGAGCAGAGTAGAGTAGAGTAGGGTTGGTGGAAACAGGGCTATATTAGGCTTCAACCTCCCACATACACACAAACTCATGGTCTCTTAAAACCCTGCAGCTAGCGTTAAACAATAGGAAGTTAATACGTTCAAAATTATTGTTCATTTGACTTTTCTTTTTCTTTGATTTATTTTTAGAGACAACAAACGTCTTGTTTGCTGATTCCGAGAAAGATCAGCAAGTTCCGAGCGCGCTGCAGAGACGCCTTCGTGCCCTCGGCCTGGAGCCAGTGGAGCCAATGGAACAATGTAACTTTATAAAAATGTCTTTCTGTGGAGGGAGGGGCCATGTGTTTACAAATGTATAATATCACAATAATTGTTCAGAAACTGTTTTCCTCGACTGGGATTCAGAAATGTCCGTGAGGGAGTTTAAAAATCACAAATTCTACTTTACTCTAATTTAATCTGATTCTACTTCATGTAATCACGTAAACCGGGCTCTTATGAGGGGGCGACAGTGGCGTTGGTAGAGCATTGGCCTTTGACCCTGAAGGTCGTGGGTTCGGACCCTTCACGAGACCTTCTCCACGGACTCCCACTGATGTCTGCTGTCGTTGTGTCCTTGGGAAAGACACGTAACCCCACTTTGCCTGAAGCCCCCGCTGAAAGATCAAGGCTGAGGGGCTGGTGCTCTGTGAACTGGGTGCACTTCTGACTGCCCAACCCCACCCAGAAATGGATTAAGGGGAAGAAGATGGGTGGATCCTTATGAGACAATGAGCAGTGATACAATCCAATCCAATTTATTCATAAAGAACTGTATAGACCACGTTTTCCAAATGTATGTGTTCAAGAAAATAGAAGTCAAACATTATGCACAAAAAACAATAAAAATAAGAAAATATCAGTTAACAATAAAAATGTAATGAAAACGATGAAATATCAGTTAACCGATTTAAAAGTAAAAGTAGAATTAAAAACAATAAAATAAAGAATATAGAGGACCATACAGCTCACACAGTGTTAAAAGCCATTTGAAAGTTTATATATTAGAAAAGTCAGTTTCCACTCTAGCTCATATAGAAACATTACCACTGCAGGAAAGGTCTTAAAGTATTGATTATTGATCCAGGTTGAAATGTTAAGTGAAATCCAAATGTCAAAATACTCTGTTTACTCCCGTATCCACTATTTATTCTTGGTTTTTTGTTTGTTTGTTTTATACATGTTTATTTATTGAATATCTGTCATTGTTCTTCTGTGTCTGCATTGTCCGTGTCTTTTGTACTGTGTGAAAAAGTGACTATTAAAAGATCCTGGTTTCCTTCCCTTTTACATGTTGTTGCTTCTGCTTGTTTTAGATTCTTCAAATAAGCACTTTTTAGATCATGACTTCTGTAAAAACGGTTTCAGGAAAAATCAAAAGTTTGTAGTTTCAAAATCCAATATTAGCTTTTCAACAGGTTTTGTTTGAGATATTGTAGTGATAATAATGCGTTGGTTTTGTATATAACTCCATACACAACTATTACTGTAGCCACGGCTGCCCTGGGGCACACTGAAAGGACTAAAAATTACAAAAATGTGTGAATTAAGGAATTATTATTTAGTTATTTTATTCATTTCCGTCAGAATCTTCACTCAGACAACAATAGAGCACACATTATTATCATTTATAAGTGACAGAAAGTAGATTTTGTGAAGAAAAGTATATTTGGTTTAGGTTCAACAGTAGAAGAATCTCTGTATCTGTTTTTGTCTCCTTTAAAAGCGTTCCCTGTTTTCTTACAATAGTCAAAAAACACTGGAAAACCCTGCTTTAACCCTTTTATTTATATGTGTTTTATTATGATTTATTATCTGTCCATAAATGTTTCAGTGTGAGTTATTTGAGAAAAGTGTCTAATGTACATTTCTCGTTGCAGGTAAAAGGAAAAAAGAAAAAGTGCCAAAACACCAGGTGCGGGAACAAAAAAAATAACAGATCTAAAAAGCCTTTATAAAGCTCCATTCCATTTGTAATTGTCTTTTAAATAATGTAATAAAGTTTCAATAAAATATCACACATTTGAACTGGATGTGCTGGTTTTCCATGTGTGTGTGTAGAATCAAGCTCCGGTTTCATTTCAGCTCAGTTCAGTTCTACTTTGTCAAACCCCGTAGATATATTTCCATCATCTCCAGATTTTGATGCTCGGCTCAGTCAGGACCGGAGCTTGAGGATTTTATCTATTGTACAGAGGCGTTGGGGAAACTGGAGCGTTTTCCTTTTTTTGATTCATGCAGATCTGTGTAGCACTGTATGAGCTGTAGGAGCCAATATCCCTTGGGACAATAAAGTTTATCTAAAGTTATCTTAATTTATCTTTACCATGTGGGTTAGGGTTAATGTTAGGATTTGGGTTATTGTTACTAGGGTTACTAAAATCTTGGTTCTGACAACAGCCTGGTAGGATCGGCCTCCTCTGAAAGACCGAGCCTCCAGGACGATTCTTTCAGGCTGTAGCTCCCAAACAGTGCGACGATCCTCTCCTCTCTCTGCGTTCTATAGTGTCCGCTGACTTCAACATAAATCAGCTTATTTACAGTTTTTCTCAGTCACTTTGGTGCATTTCTCAGACTTAAAGTTCTCAAAACTATTAGTTCAACCTACTCAACATGAGTCATGTGTGACATCATCGCAGCAGTTTCTCCTCTGAACACTTTACAAATGCTTTCGGACATGTATCAGTTACTTTCATACAATTCTCTGCTGTTTTCTAACATTATCATTTGCTTCTGTCCAGTCAAAATGAAACATATTGATCACTTCTGAATAGTCTTTCCCTATAAAACCAATAGTTCTCATTTCAGGGCTTTGGTATCACATACAAAATTGTTAAACTAGTTCAAAACCTGTGTTCATATTTCTTGGCAGTCAAAAAAAAAAAGTCCTTGTCATTACAAAATGACAATTTATAATCACAAATCATTTTCCTTGGACAAAATGAAGAAAAACACAGAGAACAAAGCGTGTGATATGATTCTTTCTGTTTCCCAGTCCCCGAAAAACAAAGTTATAAACAAACAAATGGAGAAAAGCACAGACAAAAACAGAAGAATATTTTTGTAGAATATTTTTCGGATTATAAATCGCACCAGCTGAAAACACGTAGTATGGAAGGAAAAAAACATGTATAAATCGCATTAAAGAATGTTAGCCTCTTTTTGGAGAAATGAATGTGATCAAATCCAACATCAAGAATAGACATTTCATCTTGAGGCAATTTAAAATAAAATTAGAATAGAGAACAACAGGCTGAATGAGTGTCGGTTGTATGACTGGTTTGTTAACCTAAAATATTACAGTCATTTCTATAACTTTAGCATATACTGTAGATATAGCATAAGTTTACCAAAGAACCAGTGTCACTCCTAATCACAAGATCCAATCAGATATAATTTTAAAATATAAAATGTAAGAATTTCCAAAGTATATGTCACCCCCTCGGCTAAACAGTGACAAAGTTATTTCTGCGACTTATAATCCGGAAAACACAGCAATAATACCACCTCCTGTTAGAATAGCAGAGCGTGTGTTTTAGTGTTGAACTGTCTCCATCTTCACAACAATCCTGTGAGAAGAAGAGAGGTCGAATTAGTAATAATGGCTTTGATTAAACTGTATTTATAAAAAAGTAGGATAAGCAGAGTGTGATTTTAAGAGAGAAACTGCTTCAATCGTTGTTTCCATCTTTGGTAAAACATCGCACAAGAACGGGAAGGTCTTTTTAAGTTTGAATAATGTGAATGTGATTTTAAATATATGCAAAGTTTAATTATTGAGTCAAAAAAGTGTAAACAAGAGGCTGAAATTTCCCCCCTGTGCAACACAAGAACTATTTCTGTTTGATATTTATATTATTATGACTGATATTATCTATTGGCTGCTTTTATAGTTTTAAAAGTGCTATTCTAATACAGATTTAGGTTAAGAAATCCTTTATGCGTGCCACAGTGAGGAAATGTCAGTGTTGCATGACCGGTAATAGGACAGTAGCAAGATAAATCAATTATAACTCTAAAAATAAAATCTCTAGCTTTAGCATAAAAAAGTAATATACTGTTTAATCTAGTGCAAGAAATATACAGCTGTGTGTTTACATCTGTGCATGTTAGTAGCAGCAGAGGAGACAGTGGACACATGTGGTTCTATATCATTATCATTATGACTATTATTATTATTATTATTATTCATTTTTGTCCTTTTTCCTTGAGCTACTAACCTCCTGTTGCATCTGAGACACACCCGCCCCCACACCGCGTGCACCAGGACCTGCCTCAGAGCCGGACTTCCCCAGACGTAGAGCGACGGAGTGCACAAGGAGTTAAACCTGGCCATAATCGCAAAAATATTTGTCGCTTCGTTTCTAAAAATAATCCCTCCTCCAAAGTATCTCAGCAGAATATTCACAAAGGAAGGCAACCACAAAACCAAGAATGTGATTACCACAAATATGATAATTCTCAGAGACTCCTTATTGCTGTCTTTCTCTGGTCCTGGTGGGTCCTTGTCCACCTGAAACCTGGCAACGAAGTAGAGTTTGATCGTCATGGCAACTTTAGTGAACAGAATGACTAGGAAAATGACAATGCTGTATAAGTATAGCTGTAACGCAGTAGAGATTGGGAGCATATATCTCAGCAGCAAATGCACATAGGTGTAGACCCAGCAGTAAATATTCACCGAAATGACAAGAGGTCGAGTTACAAAACGTCTGTAAAGGAACGGATGGCACACGGCGAGATACCGGTCGAACTGTGCGAACATAAACGTGAGAATGTTAATGCCCATGAGCGAGTTCAGGATGTAGAAAGTGCCATTTCTCGACGGGTAACCTTCGTAGACGTCGAAAAGCCCGACGTAGAAGACGGACAGGCCGACCAGCGTGTCGCACACACTGGTGTTGAGCATAAAGAGGAAGCGGTTCTGAAGGCGCAGCGCTCTTGTGGCCAGGATACTGACGGCGACGCTCCCGGCCACAAGGACGGTGCAGGAGGCGAACAGGAGCTGGAAGAGGAAGAGGAGGTAGTGTTCTGGACGAGAGAAGTCCACAGACAGAGGCACTCCTGTCCACGGCTCAGAGCTGTTGGACATTGTTTATGTGCAGGTTCAGTGGGAGTCTTGCTTATAGCCCTCAGCAGGAGGATCCCCACAGACACCGCGCCCTCTGATTGGTTGTTTTCAGAAGGGGAACTCAGGGTGACTTCAGACAATAGCAAACGTAAAACCCAAACCGCATTATTACTCTACTGCTGCATTACTTTGAAGTTACTTTCACCAAATACACATATACAAACTAAATGTAGCTTGTGATGCTAGCGTGAGGTTGAGTTTTTGGTTTGTAGTAATAGTAGTGAGGTTTATTTATAGAGCACATTTAACAGACCAAGGTCACCCAAAGCGCTTTAGAATTGTTCAGATTTCAGATTTTTTTTCCATCCACACACGGTGATGACGGAAGCGAGACGCCGAACACACTGGACCATCAAAACCTCCAACCAACACCATCCATTCACTCACTCATTACATTCATACCTATTGTGCATGTTTTTAATGGTAGGGGAAGGAGCGCCCCGGAGGAAACCTACGCAGAAAAGGGGAGAAAATGAAAACTCCACTCAGAAAGGCCCTGTTCCGACCGGGATTCGAACCCAGGACCTTCTTGCTGAGAAGCGAGAAGCAATTTGAACATAAAGTCACTTAAATGTTATTATTGTTGTCAAAAAAGATTTGACTGACGTGTTCAAAGTTTGATACAGAAAAACAGACGAAGATATGCAAGTTTAACATCTGTATTTAATTTATCTTTACAATCAGATATATTCAACAAGAGAGCTCCTAAACTATCCATGTCCCTCGCTGGCCCTGTGCTGACTCTGAGCCCCCGCCTCAAGCCAGAGCATATCAGGAGAGGTCCAGGAAGAAGGGGGCGTGTCGTATCAGGCAGCTTCCGGTCTGAGATCCGCCTCCGCACCATGTGGCCTCCTCTGTCTCGCCAGACCTAAACAGAAATCATTCACACACACTACCCCTCCCTAATTCTATAGAAATATTACTTCCTTGAGATAAGACAGGAGACTCTCAAGGCTGTCCCTCCAGATTCTGGGTCCATCTCCTTCTCCAAACAACGGAAAGGATTAGCAGAATCAGATCTTGCCCCCCCCCCAGATTAACTATCATTAACTCATATTCTGCACTTTGGACTACTAAGAGGTAGGGGAGACCAGGTCTTTTTGCTTAGGAAAGAGACAGAGTTCAAATCAGGGTCAGTAAAATTCACATCTGCTTTTTAGTCTATATTTAATTTCCCTCTCTTGACCTATATTAAACAATTAGGTCACAATCTTTCAATAACCCTTCTGGGTTATTGAAAAAAAAAAAATCATCGCCAGCATCTTAATTCTGGCTCGATGTCTGTGAAGAATTAATACAGGGAAAACAAACAACCCACAACCACATTCGAAACATATGTTTTTATCTAATAAATCCCTCTATACTATGGTTTTGCTTTCATTAACTGTGGCTTTGTGCCCGTGTGATTTTGCTCATGTCTATTCTACATTCTCAGAAACAAAACTGAACACAGAAAGACAAATGGTTAATATGAACATTATTATGGCGGTCAGTTTTCCAAATACATTTGTCGAAACAGGAAGTGCTGTCACTTCCTCCTCTCAGACAGTTTGGGATGAATGTACTTCCTTAATCAAATTGGTATTATCCTTAGAAGAGCTAATCTCTTTTAGCAGGTTTTTGGGGTCAGTTACTCTACAATGGTATTCGATTTTCTAATCCGTGCTGACAAATCGACAGCTTTTAAAATTCTCAAAAATACCTAAATATCTACTTTTGTGCTATACCCAAATACATTAAAATGCTTTTAAATGTTTTTGAATCTGTGTTGGTTCTAATCTATCTCAATAATCCATCTCATTAATCTAAGCTACACTCATGAACTTCTTGCATTGTCAACATTCACCTATGTTTGAAACAAGTGAATTTGACAAGTATCTAATAGAACTGTGCATGAACTGTAATGAACTTTATCTACTTTTGAAGTAAATACTTTTGGACATATTATGAAGGAAATGGTCCTTTTACCGTTTGATTTTTAGCCCTGTCTAAAAATAATCTCTATTTTTGAAAGCATCTATCTATTTCTACTCTTGTGACTCCAAAGCTCGGTTGTAGCTTGAGCCAAAGCATATTTCCAATTTGTGACTTCTGTCACTTTCAATGGCTGTCAAATAATTCTGATTCTAACAGTTTAGCTGCTCTATCAGAAGGATCACAATGTATGGTACCATTTTAACTCTTACTCTGAAGTTTGTTTATGAACAATGATCAAATTCTACTTTTTCCTACAATTTAACATCTACTAAAACGCTAAAATACTCATACTTTATCATTTTAAACCATTTTAACAGTTGCTCAGTCCCCCCAGACTAAAAGTCAACCTTTTTGTCTGCCAGACTGAACACTTAACATTTATTGCATTTGTCACAGTTGTGGTTCTAATTGTAGCAATTGCATTGGCAATAGATGATTTTTCATTGGCTGGTTCTCGTTCTGCAAATCACTATTTTATGTATTGTATTTCAGACAATTCCAAAAACAACACAGTAGTTCTCCAATATTAAAGACATGAATCTAAATCAAGTTGCCTGAAAGGGAGCAGGAAGAAGAGAACTATTTAAACCGTTCTCTACGATTATATGGCTATGAAATTAATTATTTAATAACCAAAAGCACATTCATGGCTTCTGTCCGCGGCTTATAACTGTTTAAAGTGTTGTCCAAAACTTAATATGTGTAAATACATCAGCTGTTTGTAATAAACAATAACATTTAACCTGTTCTCCAATGGAGCAGCTCAGAGGCTGCGTCAAGAGCAATGTTATATTTGAGCTATTTTTAGATTTAAAATTTTGTTAAAGCCTGTTGTTCTATGTCTGCATTTTAATACTACTCTCTATAAACACATCTGCACTAGATCCTACAGATGTGGAAAACAGAAGCATCCAAAATCTGACTCTATTTGATTCCTTTTTACTCTAATTATTAGAACAATTTGACCTTATTTATACTTATTTCCACAATAGAACTATTTTGATTATTCACTAGTCTAACTATTATTACTATTGTTTATTCTGACACCTCTTCTTAGCGACATTTTAACCTATAGCTCCTTGAATCCAATGACATTATAGCTCCAGACTATTTCATTCTATTCTATTATTATTATTATATGATCTATTATCTTAAAGAGTAGATCTGTTTGATGTTATAAGCGCTATTATTTCTCCTTTTGAATTTGCACCACACTAAATTTAGAATGACCCCCTATGGGACAAATAAAGAATTTTATTTTATTTTGGCAACTCCAAAAATTATTTAATAATTTTCCCATTTTGCTTTTAGGCTGCCCTTTCTATTATTTATTTGTTCTTGTAAATATATGTTTTACACTTCTTTCTAATGATTTAGAAGGTTAAGGACCATGACCACCTATGACAATAACATTACAATACTCCCCTCTCTTGGTCGTGGGCCAAGTGTAAATGTATGTATTCGTCTGTGTGTGTGTAGATTACTGTTCCAATCATCTCCAGTTGTTTCCTCCCGGATCGTCCTCAATTCGTATTGTGGGCTTTGGTGCCAACGTAGAGGCTCATTTCCTTTATGATCCGTACTACTGTGTTATCCCTGAAACAGGTGCAGTTTATCTTTTATCTGAAAAAGAAACATTAGAACACAAGAAATGCCCACTTCCCTGGCATGGTGCAGCCTGTCAATCTTTTTCCAATTTGAGCAAAACATAACTACATTGACAGACGGTCGTGTGACATCAGGGCAGAGGCTGTAGCCAAATACAGACTTAACAATATGTATGTTTCTAATTTTATACTCCCCTAAATGTGAGTTACAAACCAAAGTTGTCCTCCGCCCAATGACCGCTCACTGCGGTTGGACCGAATCACTGTCAGGACAAACAGCAGAGGGAGGGACTCCCAGTACCTTCAGCAAGGTATTTCATCTCAGAGTACTTTCCGCAGAGTACTTTCTCAGAGTACTCATCCCAGAGTACTCTCACTTTTACACCTGTTCAATAAAGCTTGTTATCTTTGAATCTCTAGTACTTACACCGTATGCTGTTGACAAAAAATAATTATTCCATGATCACATTAAAACATTACAGAAAAACATTTGTTATTCCATGATTCCGTTCAGCACTCCTCGTTCACTCCTCATTTCACAACACACTCACAACACACTCACAACACACTCACACAGGCCGCCTCCCCACGTTAGTATATTGGTCCAGAGTTTGTTAAGGTCAACGTAGTGTACTTGACATGACGCACAAACATATAACATACACAAATATATAACACACACAAACATATAGACAACACAGGAGGCCTGTAATTTAACTTTGTTATATTTTTCCATGTCCAATTACAATTGTCTCATGAGCTATTTTATTGTTGCAACTTTCAGAGCCTGCAGAACATGCAGAGCTTTAAGAGATTTTTCCTAAAAGGATCCATTTCAAACTTTAGTGTTTACCACGTGGTCTTTGCTCGGGCTTATCACAGACTGTGTCCCCTATATTTTTAATGAGCTCTTGTTACTTTAAAAGTCGTGCACGTGCAATAAATGTTTTTCCCTTTTTTTTGTAAAGCCAGTTCGGATTCATTAAAAATGTAAATTAGTCTCAAACTTTAATACTTCACCTTTGTTTCACGTTCATGTGGAGAAAAGACCATTATTCTACGTGTGTTGACGTACTTGCACCAATCATGTCTCAGATAAACTGCCAACAGTTGTATCAAAGACATAATTGTCCTAATTGTTTCTAATTTTAGCTATTTGGAAGAGAAACATGTCATAAAAGATTTCATAAAATGTCCCTACATCCGTGTTTTCAACCAATGGACCGTGGTGCGTTAGTGTGCCATCAAAAATGGTCTAATATCACCTTTAGCCAAGATTTAGAAATACTCTATTATTTTTCAGACTTTTTTTTTTTGATTGTCTGAACAAACCACTTTTGTATTAAATGCAGTTCTCTTTCTAGCACCAGTTTCAACTGTGCATGTGATTGTTCTTAAATGAGAAACGAGCCACGGTTCAGAGGTTGAAAAAAAATTGCGTTAAATATCCGTATTACCAAGATCATGCAGTCAAAATCAATAATTCTAAACTTCTCCGCGTCTTATAACTTTAAATAACAATAATAGTTTTAATAATAAAGCTCATCTAAATCATGCACAAATATACTGCTGTTCTAATCTCCTTGTGTCTCATGCTAAAGTAAGAGTCTAATAATTTTGACAATTGTCTTGTAATCATTCATGCAGTTAAATGTAGTGTTTTGAACGTATGACCTAAATGTGTAAATATGACCTAAATGTCCTTAATGTCTTGGTGCGCTTGTTGCCTGTCTGTATACAATACCTTCTGTCTGTTTCATTTAGCCCTCCAGTCCTCCTCTTATGGCGTCTTTCAATTGTCTTTGTCTCATGGTGTCCACTGTCTTTGTCTCAATGTCTTTTTTCTTCTTCTTTCAATCAATCACTTTCTTTTTTCTTCCGATAACTTTTTCTCATAATGTCTTTCTTCTTCTTTCAATCTTTTTCTTCTCCTTGCAATGTCTTTTTCTTTCATGTCTTCTTTGTCTCATTTTTGACGCACACAAATGTGTTGTCGTGCTCTTCTGCTCGGTTCACACCGTTCCTCTTCGTGCACATAACTCCACTCGGTTTGTGCAAAAGTCCGGTTCCTCTCCATGGAATGGAGGCCGGAGAAGTCTTCTTCGAGAGTTCCTGTTAGCTGCTGTAGCCGATGCTGCTGTCTTTGGTGCCCCCTGTGGGTGAAACGGGGGAGACGCTGATGGTCCCTTTTAGTAGACGCTCAGTTGAGGCTTGTGGCGGGGAGGATTTAGGCCAATGAAACAGACAGAAGTTTTCTCAGAAAAAACAGACAAGAAACACAAACAAGTGTGTTAATTACCATACAAAACCAATGATTAATTACAAATCTAAATAAACCTATGAAATAATTAATATTAACATTTTAAACATTAGATTCTGAAAACCGAATTCTGCATTCAACTGCTATCCTAAGCCCTATTGTTCCAAAAGTATAATGCTCTCTAAGATCATTCTAACTCTTATATCACCAAAATGTAGGGAAAAAAAAACTTGTCCAGACGCCTTGGAAATAAAAATAAAATAATGCCTCTTTATAATCTAACTCAAAGTTCTGTGATCATATGACTCCATGTCAGTAACATTATCATGTGTATAAATGTAATTTTCTACAAAAAAATATATATATTTGGTAATAGTTCTGTCTTCACGAGAGAGAGAGAGAAAGAGAGAGAGAGAGAGACAGAAAGAGGGAGGGGAGGGGCCTCCCGAACAAAGGAAAACATGGACGTTCTGAAATACATCCTCCTGTTAGCTACATTTTCCTCGTTTTTTATCGTGACAAGGTTTTAATCAGTGGTAAAAGTTTTTCTCACGTCAAACGACACTTTACATTTTATCCTTAAATACGTCAGTAATGGAAAACATTACAATTTGCTTACATGACTAATGCATTACCAGTCACAGCAGGATGTTTTTCCGTAATACCTCTGTAACTATTAAAACATTACATCACAATACAAGAGAAAAACTCCCAGACTGATCTTTTGTCATTTCTTCACATGAAAACTCGACAGCCAAGTGGCTCTCTTTTTTCTCATTAATCAGATCATTATTATCAGAATCCACATTTTAAATACTTGGCTTTTTTCTGTTTAAATGTACCCTTTTTCCCGCCCCCCGGGGGATATGGAGGTCTTATTATCCTATAACTTCTGACCCTAAAGCTGTCCCTATTTTCTAATTGTATTCCTATTTTCACTAAACACTTGTGCCTCTCTGCACTTTAAAACGGTGTGCCTCTTTTGCACTTCTAAAACCCTTGTGGACTTTCTTTCCCTTTTTTTTTTTTTTTAGAGAGAGACCAAATCCCTCAAGGTTTAAAAACGTCAAAAACCTGACTATTGTTCTATCGCGTCCGATAAACGCCCGTCACGGCGGTCTGTCCACACCTGCAGTCATGCTGGGCCGAGATCTCTCTGTCTTCTATTTAAAACAATGTGCAGATTTTAGAAATGGTATCTGCTTACCTGTGTTTTGCAGAGTAGAGAGAGCCCCCAGACCCAACAGACCCAGTCTATCTATCTGAGCTCATCTCGCGTCTTCTTTCTGTATCAAATCACGTCTCGGGTCACCAAATGAAGCCAATAACTCCTTTGGCTCGCGTGTCCACAATTTGGTACAGAAATCAGACGAAGATATCCAAGTTTAACATCTGCATTTAATTTATCTTTACAATCAGAATACAGAATATTTCAACAAAAAAGTGCTCCTAAACTAATATGTCCCTCTCCTCTACCCCTGCGCTAACCTTCCCCCCAGAACTCAAACCAACAGTTTTATCACGACGTCTGATGACGTCACTTGTGGGCGTCTCCCGAATGTTCTTTTCGGGTGTGGCTGGCGTCCCGTGTCCACTGGGAGGCGTCAGAATGCCTTTGGAGAATCTCCCAGTCTGCCTGAGAGAGATTAGCCAGATGGTGGTTTGGACTTTTGGCCTCGCCAGAGAGACAAGAATGTTTATTCCTGGAGTTAATAATTTGTCCCGTTTTGAAAGTTGGTATCTCTATGACTGATTGTAGTTTCTCCATTTGACCCTCTTTATTCCTGTTTGCAATCCTTGTCCTTGGGGCTTTTCCCCGTGCACATTCTTCAGAGGGCCTATTTTCAAAATCATTAGTATTACAACATTTTTAATTATGCAACAACACACAGCCACAAGCACACACAAGCACAAGCACACACAGTCACACACAGTACACGCACACACAGACACAAGCACACACAGACACAAGCACACACAGACACACGCACACACAGTCACACGCACCCACAGTCACACGCACACACAGTCACACGCACACACAGTCACACGCACAGACAGCCACGCTTCAGGGGCCCAGGTTGAAGGAACTGGAGTCTTCCTCTGGCAGAGATTTTCCTTTGAAAACATAATAAAGAGACATCAGTTTTATCTACTCAAATATGACTTTGATATATTCATCATCAACAACATCAGTATTTATTGATCACCAGGAGTGGCCCCCTGATCCACAGGATCCTTGAACATGTTTATTTGGGACTGTGACGAGACTGTGCATTGTGAGAGAAAGACACTTACATCGGCTGTTTTGGGAGTCGAGTGATTATCTCACTCCTCTTGATTGTGAAGAAACTCAGCGACAGTTTTGTCAACACTGACTCCTGGAACATGATCGATATTCATTTTGGACCTACAGGGCAGCAACACAACTGTAGGGATGAACGACACACACATCACAACATCATTATCATAATCACTGCGTCCCATATATGCATTCACAAACAACCTACATGACAAATGTGGGGTGTTAAGTCTTCCTCAGGAGATGACAATGGCCGATCTTCTAATTCTGGAGCAAAGTCTTGTCTTCCCAGTCAATACTAGAGAAAGAAGAGGTCAGCAGAAAAAGTATCTAGTCGTTATGGCATTGTTTTTTTTTAATAGTTATTTAACTTGCATTATGGAGGCTTTTGAACTCTTGTACATTGAAGACCTCATTCCAATTGATTTAGGCCATACTGGAAAAGATACAGAGAAAAGATGCAATGAAGAGACATGTAAATTATTACAATGTCTATATTATATCATGCTCATAATTTATTTGGTAGTAGTCAGCAAGACTTTTCTTACTTATTCTCAATACATAATAATAAAATGTATGTAGTGGTCACGGAAGTTAGATTTGAGGTAAAGATGGTGCGTTCAGACCAAACGCGATTTCTGCGGCCAAATCGCGTATATCGCGCGGCTCGCGCGGCTTGAGCCGCTTGTGACAAATTGTGGCAGCCGCTGTCACAGAGAAACTTGGCCGCGCGGCCAGGACACTAGAGGGCAGCCGCTGTCACAGAGCGTTGAGAGCGTTTAGGGGCGGGGCTTGTCTCTTTTGCCTGTAGCTTCCCAACATGGATGTCAGCGAAGGAGTTGCTTGGCTCTATCTAATAAATAAAGCCAGACAGCGTCGTCAAAGGGCGAATCGACGACGTGTCTGGATTCACCAGATAGTCCGTAGACGGTTGGAGTTTGGTGAGTTTCACCATTTGCTCCGGGAGCTGCGCTCGGATGAGGGTCGCTTTCAGCGGTACTTTCGTCTCTCCCTGGCCCAGTTTGACGACCTACTGACCCGCATTGGCGCTAGGATCACCTACCAGGACACCAACTACAGGCGCTCTATTCCAGCTGAAGAGCGCCTGTCCATCTGTCTGCGGTTAGTGTTTTTTACCCCATTCGGAATTCCTAAATACTTACAAAGTTTGTCATTTTTCAATCACAATCCACAATGTAATTGCTCAGAAAACAGTATTATGCAACAATTTGGTGTCTATGATTACTGTCTATGATGTTTACTGTCTACTAGTTTAACGTATTTTATGCTACACAAGTTTTGTCACGTGATTTTTATGAATGTAATTGTGATAAATATGTTCATATCATTTTGTAATTGCAGGTTTCTTGCCACTGGGGACTCCTACAGGACCATTGCGGGGAGCTTCAGAGTGGGCATATCCACCGTCTCCATGCTCATCCCAGATGTGGTGGCAGCCATCTGGGACTGCCTCGTGGAGGAGTTCATGGCTGTGCCTGGAGCAGAGGAGTGGAGGTCCATAGCGCAGGACTTTGAGGTCCGATGGAACTTCCCTCTGTACTGTGGGGCCATTGATGGGAAGCATGTGGCTGTGAAGGCACCCCCCAACTCTGGGTCCATGTTCTTTAATTACAAGGGGCACCATTCCCTTGTGCTCCTGGCTGTAGTGGATGCCCAGTACAGGTTCAGGGTCATTGATGTGGGAGGGTACGGCAGATCCAGCGATGGAGGCATCATGGCCAACTCTGCCTTTGGTGAGGCTCTGCGCGAGGGCACACTCGACCTGCCTCCTGACCAGTGCATACCTGGAGCTGACCACAGAGGACCCCAGCCCCATGTGTTCGTGGCAGATGAGGCCTTTCCACTGCGCCGCAATTTAATGCGCCCTTTCCCTGGACGTGGTGGCCTTACCCCAGAGCAGCGCACCTTCAACTACCGCCTCTCCCGGGCCCGGTTAGTGGTGGAGGATGCATTTGGGATTTGGTCTGCGCAGTGGAGAGTGTTTCGCCGTCACCTGGAAGTCTCCCCAGAAGTTGTGGAGAAGTGTGTGAAGGCCACTTGTGTCCTTCACAACTTCATGAGGATGGCTGGAGATGGGCAGGTTCCTGCACCGAGGGGAGCTGCTGCCGGTGAAGAACCACTTCCAGGCGTGCAGCGGATGGGCGCCAACAACGCGACCAGAGAAGCAGTGGACATAAGGAAGGTGTTCATGGCCCACTTCAGTGAGGAGGGAGCACTGCCGTGGCAGCCCACAGAGTAGTCATGTCCACCACAAGACTGACCCACAACGGCTCTTTTCAGAGCCACCCACAACGGCTCTTTTCAGAGCCACCCACAAAATACAAAGAGCCTAACTTCATTCCTGACATATAATGTGCTGAGCCTCTTGAATATGAAATTCTTTACATTTTTTCTGGCCATAGTCCAAACCCATATTGATTTGCACTATTCTATTCACCTGTATACCTTCTGTTTCTAGGTAATGACTGCCAGACTCCACTGCGACTCCACTCCAACTTCAGGTTAATCATATGCACATTCAAGCTTTTCCGTAATTACAAGTTTGTTAAAACAGTAAAAGGTGAAATGAATAAAAAATACTGCCAACTAATGTATTGCTCTTTAAGTGTTAGTTATTTCATCTTCTATAAAACCCAGTCAGCTCTTATTAAAGTAAATGTACAAATATAGAATAGCATTTTCTGTCAGTATTATATGAAAGGTAGTAATGGTTTGCTTGAAGTAGAACACATGAGGTTTGAAAAATATTTTCTTTATAAAAAAAGGAACAAACAATGAACAATAAATTAAATGTACATATAAACAAATGAAAAGGAGCTTGCTTGGAGGAGGTGCGGTGGAAGAGGAAAGGGACACATGTCTGTTTCCTCTCCTGCAAAAGGTGTCACCTTAGGTCAAAAAACTGTCTGTTCTGGCCAATGGTTCCAAATTAAGCAGAACGGTGCTGCTTTCATATAGAAGTTGATACATTTTGAATTTAACAAATTCTCTTGACTCTGGTGCCACCCTTTGCAGGAGAGGAACGAGAGAGAGCAGGAACTGATGGTCTTCTGAGTAGTCGGGCGGTGCGGCTGCTTTGGTCCGTAGAGTCTCCAGCAGCTCCCGCTCCCACTCGGAAGGCGGCTCTACGGACGTGGGCCTCTTCCGAGCCCTCTTCCTTGGTGGGCCTTCAAAGAACACAGGGCAATCACAGTGTTAAAAAGTGGAACATGTATTTCAAAAAAGCAAAATGAAGAGAGCAAATAATATCTGTATTAAAGCCAGAGTGTGTAGACATAGTTAAACACATGTAAAACACTTTTAAGTTGTGTGTTTGTGTTACAATTAACTTGAACATTGCAGTTATCAATGAAATTACTCACACAAGCACAAATTTCGACAGTTACAAACTAATATCTCTGAAGTGTATTTCGCAATGAAATTTGAAATTGGCTGTTAAAAAAGTAATACTCTATTGTCTGCATTAAACAGGATAGCTGCCATCTTGTGGCAACCTTTGCATGTATTTGTTCAGTACTTTTATAGCATAAGGTATTTCAGTAGTATGTTTTTATCGAAGAAAGAGGGAAGATGTGAAGCTTCAGACCAAAGCTTCTTTCCACCTGTAGTGCCTTGACATCTTGTCGTTTCTCTGTAAATTTGTCGTCTACACTGATGTAACAGCCCTTGGGTAATTTTGGCATATTATGCAGTAACATTTTGTTTATATGAACAGTCCTGTAATAAGAATAAAAATAAAACAATGATTAAAAAAAGCCACACCTGTAGGTGCAGAAGCAGGGGAAGGTCCAGCCCTCACAGAAGAAGAACCGGCTGAGGAAGAAGCAGCAGCAGCAGCAGCAGCAGCAGCAGCAGGCAGCTCAGGCCAAGATGTCTCACCTTGTGTGGTGGTGGCAGTATCTGCACCAGAAGAAAACAAGAAATACAATTATTTCATATCATGTGTACATTGCGCTTATGACATTTATATGTACATAATAATGTACATTATTATGTACATTTAAATGATTTGTTCATATGAAAGGGAAAAGTGAAATTTAACACAACACATGATCAAGATCTATCCTGGTTTGAAAATAGCCAATGCCTATTTTCACCTGGCCATGATGTTAAGAAAGCATTAAAAGAAATGCATACACAGAAAGCAATATAAATGTAAAAGTCAGAAAAATGTGGGTAATAAAAAGGAAAGAAATGTATTTTTTCCAACTGTTCGAGGTCTCTGTTTGCTGCATGACACCGACCTTCAGCACCTGACAGCCCTGCTGCTGCTGCTTCCTCTGGCTCTTCTTCTGGGTGGTTGTACCCTGTGGTCTGCTCCTCCTCGGCCCTTCGCCTTGGCATGTTCCCGGAGCTGTCACGGGGAGCGATGTAGGGCTCGAGGAAGGACATGACCACAAGGTACTTCCACGTCTGGCCTTTCCCTGCTTCTGCACCACTCTTCTTCACCTTTTCCTTCTCCTTCCTGCTCTCCTTAGCATATGTGTCCCTCAGGTTCTTCCACCGCTTTTTGCAAACTTCCACTGAATAAACACATCAACTCGTAAGCGGGAAAGTAGTAGTTTTTTTCGCGGGGAAATATTTACTGTGAAAAGTTAAAATAACTTACCCGAGACACCAACCACCTCGCTAACCCTCCTCCAAGCAAGCTCCTTTTTATTTCGGTCCCGGTAGCTGTGGTCTGCAGTGTTGTATAGCTCAGAATGAGCACCGACCTGAGCTATTAACATGTCCTCCATGATCTACTGTCATCTACTAGTGTTTTCCCGGTAGTGAAATGCGTCACTACGTCACTGTAGGAGAAAGCTCCTGATTGGTCGGCACACGCGAATTCTCCCAAAAAGTTCAACAATGTTCAACTCTAGCGGCGGCCGCGTTGGAGGCACGAATCGCGCGAAACGCGCGTCAAAACGCTTGACATCTCAAAACACGCCGCGCGAATCGCGCGAAACGCTCAAATTTGCGCCGCTCTGGCCGCGCGAATCGCGCCGCGTGATCTCTCGCCGCTCCTTGGCGCGCGTCCCCCATGTTGTGTCAATGTAGACCCGCCGCTTTGGCCGCAGAAATCGCGTTTGGTCTGAACGCACCATTAACCCCACTTTGCCTGGATCCCCCACTGAAGGATCAAGGCTAGGGACTACAGTTGGAAACTAGCTGTTAGCTAATACTGACATATTTACAGCAATGTTGATTAATGTGTACTGATAGTGTGTAATAAATAGAGCAGCCGTCCTCCTGTGGACTCAACTGTGGACTCACCTGTGGACTCACCTGTGGACTCACCTGTGGACTCACCTGTGGACTCTCCTGTGGACTTTCCTGTGGACTCTCCTGTGGACTCACCTGTGGACACACCTGTGGACTCTCCTGTGGCCTCTCCTGTGGACTCACCTGTGGACTCTCCTGTGGACTCTCCTGTGGACTCTCCTGTGGACTCAACTGTGGACTCAACTGTGGACTCAACTGTGGACTCTCCTGTGGACTCATCTGTGGACTCTCCTGTGGACTCACCTGTGGACTCTCCTGTGGACTCACCTGTGGACTCACCTGTGGACTCAACTGTGGACTCTCCTGTGGACTCATCTGTGGACTCTCCTGTGGACTCACCTGTGGACTCACCTGTGGACTCTCCTGTGGACTCTCCTGTGGACTCACCTGTGGACTCTCCTGTGGACTCTCCTGTGGACTCACCTGTGGACTCACCTGTGGACTCTCCTGTGGACTTTCCTGTGGACTCACCTGTGGACTCACCTGTGGACTCATCTGTGGACTCTCCGGTGGACTCACCTGTGGACTCACCTGTGGACTCACCTGTGGACTCACCTGTGGACTCACCTGTGGACTCATCAACTGTGGACTCTCCGGTGGACTCACCTGTGGACTCACCTGTGGACTCAACTGTGGACTCAACTGTGGACTCAACTGTGGACTCTCCTGTGGACTCATCTGTGGACTCTCCTGTGGACTCACCTGTGGACTCTCCTGTGGACTCAACTGTGGACTCTCCTGTGGACTCATCTGTGGACTCTCCTGTGGACTCACCTGTGGACTCACCTGTGGACTCTCCTGTGGACTCTCCTGTGGACTCACCTGTGGACTCTCCTGTGGACTCTCCTGTGGACTCACCTGTGGACTCACCTGTGGACTCTCCTGTGGACTTTCCTGTGGACTCACCTGTGGACTCACCTGTGGACTCACCTGTGGACTCATCTGTGGACTCTCCGGTGGACTCACCTGTGGACTCACCTGTGGACTCACCTGTGGACTCACCTGTGGACTCACCTGTGGACTCACCTGTGGACTCATCTGTGGACTCTCCGGTGGACTCACCTGTGGACTCACCTGTGGACTCAACTGTGGACTCAACTGTGGACTCAACTGTGGACTCTCCTGTGGACTCATCTGTGGACTCTCCTGTGGACTCACCTGTGGACTCTCCTGTGGACTCAACTGTGGACTCAACTGTGGACTCTTCTGTGGACTCATCTGTGGACTCTCCGGTGGACTCACCTGTGGACTCACCTGTGGACTCACCTGTGGACTCAACTGTGGACTCAACTGTGGACTCAACTGTGGACTCTCCTGTGGACTCATCTGTGGACTCTCCTGTGGACTCACCTGTGGACTCTCCTGTGGACTCACCTGTGGCCTCACCTGTGGACTCTCCTGTGGACTCATCTGTGGACTCTCCTGTGGACTCACCTGTGGACTCACCTGTGGACTCTCCTGTGGACTCACCTGTGGACTCACCTGTGGACTCTCCTGTGGACTCTCCTGTGGACTCATCTGTGGACTCTCCTGTGGACTCACCTGTGGACTCACCTGTGGACTCTCCTGTGGACTCACCTGTGGACTCACCTGTGGACTCTCCTGTGGACTCACCTGTGGACTCTCCTGTGGACTCACCTGTGGACTCACCTGTGGACTCAACTGTGGACTCAACTGTGGACTCACCTGTGGACTCACCTGTGGACTCTCCTGTGGACTCACCTGTGGACTCACCTGTGGACTCACCTGTGGACTCACCTGTGGACTCTCCTGTGGACTCACCTGTGGACTCTCCTGTGGACTCACCTGTGGACTCACCTGTGGACTCACCTGTGGACTCTCCTGTGGACTCTCCTGTGGACTCTCCTGTGGACTCACCTGTGGACTCACCTGTGGACTCTCCTGTGGACTCTCCTGTGGACTCACCTGTGGACTCAACTGTGGACTCAACTGTGGACTCACCTGTGGACTCTCCTGTGGACTCTCCTTTGGACTCACCTGTGGACTCTCCTGTGGACTCTCCTGTGGAATCACCTGTGGACTCCCTGTGGACTCACCTGTGGACTCACCTGTGGACTCACCTGTGGACTCACCTGTGGAGGGGCTGGTGCTCTGTCTACAACCCAGAAATGGATTAAGGGGAAGAAAATGGATACATTTTGGAAAGAAAATACTGTAAGGAGATGAAAAGTCCATATATGTGTGTATGATTTTCCATCTGAACAATCCCCCTGTTGTGTGTGTGTATGTGTGTATGTATGTGTGTGTATGTGTGTGTGTGTGTGTGTGTGTGTGTGTTTGTTCTATGCTTTAAAACATTTAAACAAAAAGTATTTAAAAACACAGACACAAGATTGATCTGATTTAACAATGGAGGTTTGGTCGCTGAGTTTGGACCCCCTTGTGTTGGTCGACCCCCTCGCCCACCGCCTTCTCTTGCCCCTATTTTTTCTTTTTCTTTTTTGGAATAAAGCAGAAAGAAAATGTGTACTTTTAATTATTCTGCGCTCTCTCACAGGTGCCAAGTAAAGTTTAGCGTGACGTTCGACTGAAAGAAGCGTGCTGCGGACCCCGAACCATATCGCTCATTTAGTCCACGTTTAATGACCATAATGAGTCAACAGTTATCTGGGACGCAGTCATCCAAACGCCCGCTAACAAAAGCTAAAAGTGTGTGTGTGTGTGTGTGTGTGTGTGTGTCTTACAGTAGCGGAGCATTAGCATAGCCGTGAAAGACGTGGTTTGAACAGAGCAGGTGAAAATCTCTCTTTGAATCGCTTCCCCTCCCGCTCTGCCCATTGTTCCTGCCGCTCACACATGGCACAGGCGCAGAGAAAGGATCCTATTATTCAGCCCCAAGCCTGTTCTCCTCGTTTATCATTGGTATAGCAAGGGGTTTGGGGGGAGAGAGGGGGGAGAGAGAGAGGGGGAGAGAGGGGGAAAGCAGGGCCTCTGTGGCAGCCTGAGCAGTTGTGTGCCAGCTGAAAGGACTCGGTCGGCGGGCTCAAGCTGCAGCGGTGCCCAGTCCACCACCTGCCCCCCTCTCTCTCTCCTCTCTCTCTCCTCTCTCCTCTCTCTCCCCTCTTCTCTCTCTCCCCTCTCTCCTCTCTCCCCGCTCTCCTCTCTTTTCTCTCTCTCCTCCCTCCTCTCTCTTCTCTTCTCTTTCCTCTCTCCTGTCTCTTCTCCTCTCTCCCCTTTCTCTCTCCTCTTGCCTCTCCCCTCTCTTCTCCCCTCTCTCCTCTCTCTCCTCTCCCCTTCCTCCCTCCTCTCTTTTCTCCCCTCTCTCCTCTCTCCCCTCTCTCCTCTCTCTCTCTCCTCTCTCTGTCCTCTCTCCCCTCTCTCCTCTCTCTCTCCCCTCTCTCGTCTCTCCCCTCTCTCCTCTCTCTCTCTTCTCTTCTCTCTCTCCTCTCTCCGTCCTCTCTCCTCTCTCTCCTCTCTCTCTCCCCTCTCTCGTCTCTCCCCTCTCTCCTCTCTCTCTCTTCTCTTCTCTCTCTCCTCTCTCCGTCCTCTCTCTTCTCTCTCCCCTCTCTCCGCTCTCTCCTCTCTCTCTCTTCTCTCTCTTCTCACCCCTCCCTCCTCTCTCTCTCTTCTCTCTCTCCTCCCTCCTCTATCCTCTCTCTCTTGCCTCTCCTCTCCCCTCCCTCCTCTCTCCCTTCTCTTCTCTCGCCTCTGGGCCTTTCAGTAAGCATCAAGTGACTCAGCAGCAGCAGGACTCATTCAGATCGACAACGCAACAAGAGAGCGAGAGAGCGGGAGGAGAGATGAATACTGTGTGTGTAGAAGGGGAATCAGACGGACAGCAGGAGCGTGTCACGGAGGCAGAGAACAGAGACTGCACCTGCTGCATTTGTGTAGAGAACTTAAATCGCAACAGGAGTCGTCTCGCAGGACTTCACAAAGTTGTGGATTCGGCAACACACGTATCAGAGAATCAAAAGCAGTAATAACAAACACGTACAGAGACATTGGTTCGTAGGGAGAGGACGAGAGTGTTCATACATGTTAATAAATGTCTGAAGTAAAAGGCAAAAGATGCAGAGGTCTGAGATCATGTCACAGCAATAGATTGTGAATATTAATCTCCTCCGTTAAAACTTATGTGCCACAACTTTTGCCTTCTGTGGGCTTTTTCAAAATGGCCGCGGGGGCAGGATAATGTTGTAAAAACACTTTTGCGCATGCGTTAGCCGACACTAGCCCTATTCATTTAACAAGTGAATTCAAAAGTCCACAGCGGCACATCAGCATCTTATGATTTTAATCTTTTTTTGTTCAGCACTTAGGATGTTACAAACTGCAAGTGATAATATAGCATGGAGGAATGAACACCGGCCAATCAGCTTTCGCCGCGATGCCAGTGGCTTGGCCTTCAGATAGACAAAACATAAAGTGGAAAAGTACTGTCTCCTGCAAATGTTAGAATGAGTTTGAACTTTAACCACAGTTGCTTCAAAGTGTCATGAAATATCCAAGCCTGTAAAAAGGAAAGAAGACGCCATTCAAAAGCATTGAGTAATTCTCTTTCCGGGTACACCCCCACAGGCACGGAGTGAGATTACAGCATGGAAGCGCACATGCTCATGGACCTTTTGGAGCCGGGACCCACCCCACTGGTCACAGCAGAAGCCATTTTTATTGACGGTAAAAAGACACGACCAAAGTTTTGGAGCGTGGACTTAGACAATCCTTTTAGCATCCGCCACGACACCAACAGATATGTTAGCTTCAACCTTCGGACCAAAACATCAAGTGGAAAAACTTCTGCCTCGGTCCTCGCTCTACAGCCTCAGTCCTGGATCTACAACCCTATCGTCTATGGTTCCCACTTTTTCCCACTAGGTTTTTTCATAAAAGTTTTTCCATGCAGATACAAGAAGGTCTAAGGACAGTGGGGATGATCCAGAACTCGACATTCAACAACTTTTATGGACATTGGTCTCTGCCCTATGTGGTTTCTTTTAGCGTTGTATCTGAACGGTTTGATTCTCTGATCTGTCGTTGGCGATTTCACTGGTTGTGTAAAGTCCCCCGACATAACTGCTGTTGAGATTTAGGGCTAGACAAGAATAAACTGAATAGAATCGAATCCATATTGTCTGTAAATGTCCTGGATCAACACCACGCACTGTCCTTCCAGCCTCAGTGAGTGTGTGTTTGTTTGCAAGAGAAAAGATACACTGCAAAAAGTGATTAAAAACAAGCCAAAAATTGCTCAAATTTGGCATAATGCATCTTAATATAAGCACATTTTGACTGCCTTAGAACACATGTGTCAAAGTCAAGGCCCGCGGGCCAACTCCGGCCCGCGAATGAATTATTTATGGCCCCCGGGACATTGCCTGCCATTGAGGCAATGTGTTGACCCCTTAAGCTCGCTAGCCCCCGCCGGCGGGAGCAAACGAGGAAAAAAATACATCTGCTGGCAATAGCAGATGTATTTTGAACTTCATAAGCCACAAGCTATATATCATTTTGAAGCTATTTTTCTCAGCTATATTTATGTGTAAGTGTAAACGATATCAGACTTTGCATTAAAAAGATATAACGCATAATATGGGCACAAAATAAATCACGTCTGTATTCGTTTTTTACCTTTCGTCTTCTGCTGCTCCAACAAATTAGACGTTCCCCATCCTTGCTTAGTCGCTTTCTCTCCGTAACTGTTCATTGAAGAAGAATATCCACTTGTATTTCCCAAAGTATAATCCATTCTGCAGATTTAATCAAAAAATGCCCTGAAAAGAGGTCCAGACAGCTCTTTTACATTTCACCAAGTTTGAGCTTTTTTTTTTTTTTACTATTTTCATGTTCTCAGATGTCTATTACATCTAATGTGTACAGTATGAGGATTGGCTTTAGAGCATATTTTATCTAGCCAGCAGGTGTCACCGGCACTGCCTCTGGATGTTGAGAAACATTGAACCAGTCCGGCCCTCGGCGCGTAGCAAACATTTTTTTTTGGCCCTCTGATGTATTTGACTTTGACATGCCTGCCTTAGAACAATATTTGCCAATGGAATGAGCGCATAAAGAAGCAGTTTTTGAAATAAGGCTAAACGGCTTTGTCTCATTGGAGAATTTGGGTTGGAAAAAGTCAGAATGTGCTCAAATTAATATAAAAACCACTCGATTCAAGCAATTATTACCTCAGCTTTGATCTTTTTTTTTTTGCAGTTTAAACAAATTCGAAATCAAAGCAAACCCGTGCAGTACCGCCGGGTCAGCTCTCTGCCCAGGACTGACCTTGCCGAGATCCTCAAACCTCCGAACCAGCCTTGGCTCGAGCCGCATCCCCACGATACAGAGACAGAACCGGTGAATTTAAGATCAGCAATCGATCCGGGGTGTACTCAAAGCGTCAATACTGATGGGTTATTGATGAAGGAGGCAGTGAGTCCTCATACTCAAAGACATACGTGCGCGTGTGTGTGTGTGTGTGCGTGTGTCTGTATATGTGTATGTTTGAGGATATAATGAGCTCGTGCTGAAGCAGGTTGTTGTCATATATATGCGCAAACTCCTTCAGCAAAAATCAATGAAAATCCCACACAAATGGAGATATATACATCGCCTGCAGCATTACACTTTTGTGCCAAGACACGTGTTTCTCCCGGTGGGACAGATGCGCCGAGCTCTTCCCTGAGGATGAGGCGAGGAGGGGCGGAGAGCGTGGTTAAGTATGTGGATAGAAGCTCGGCCTCCAGGGGAAATGGCAGCTGGATTAAAAAAAGATACAGCACAAAGAAATGTTGGAACCTGTTGTAGCCCGGGACACACTTTGTAGCACAGGTACGAGGCCCCGTGAATCAACATTTCCGCAGATTGCTGCCCTTCTTTGCACACTGCAGGCCTCCATTCATAACACTGTTAATAATGTATGGCCATCAAACCACGTCAGATCTGTGTCCATGATGGGAATGCATAAATATCCTGCTCAGAAACTCGGGGGGATGTGTGCGGGAGTGTGCGGGAGGCGAGGAACTTTTCTGCTGTTCCGGCGATTCGTAACTTTAAAACTGTATTCAGTAAATGCTAATGTTTATATTTGATCTCTGTTTTTGACCATGTTTGTGCAGTGTTCTTGTGTGTTTTGAAAGGCGCTTTTCAATAAATGTAACTAATAAATGCACTTTATTGTCCCCATAGGGTTAGGGTTAGGGCCATATAAAAACACATTGAATGGAACAGAATAGAAAACTTACACATGGTCATTGTTTTGAGTGTAGCTGCAGAAATTGCCGATGATCTTGGACCTTTCTCTTGTTGGACAGAGATATCGTGTTATCTTTGTTAAAGGGCCACACCTCACAGTCTCCCTCCAAAACACTATTTTTAGACTCAGGACTGGGCCAAATGTGTCTCCATTAAACTTCCATCTGTGAGTTTAAAACAGCGTCACATTATTTTATACTCAGGGCTCAACTTCCCGAAAGGATTCTGTGTTTGTTTTATACAGAACTGAGAGAAAAGGCTTTTTGGGTTGTACATCTACATTATTACTTCATTGAAAGCGTTTGAATCCAGTTTCAGAGCATTTGCGAAATCCTTTTTGACATGTGACTGTTTTTATCATCTGTAATTTATGAGATTTTTTTTTCGTTTGTGTGACAAGACTACAATTATTTGAAATGTAATCGTAAAATGTGATGTATTGTCATGTCCACCATTGAAAAAAATAAATAATTAAATAGATAAATAATTGTATGTAATCGTGTGTAACTTTTGCTGCTTCTTGTCCAGGGGTTTTTAATCTTAATGGGATTTTCCGGGTTAAATAAAATGTAAAAAAACAAAAACACACACATACACACACAGACACACACACACACACACACACACACTCTCTACTGCACTTTCTGAAACTTGTGGCCAAAACAAAAGGCTGTCTCTGAGAAGGGGAGGTGGTCTGGGTGAGGAGATAAAGCAGGGTGTGTGTGTGTGTGTGTGTGTGTGTGTGTGTCTGTGTGTGTGTGTGTGTGTGTGTGTGTTGTGTAGCCCTGGTAATCAGACCGGGTCCACATGGTCATCGCGGGCAGCAGACAACCCTCGTTCACATTCCTCACATTATGGACGAGTGAGGGCAGGTCCCGGCACCTGAGCAGACCTGGCACATTCCACACTCCCCACACTCACACTCGCTCAGGAGGCACGGGTTAAGATTAAGATTAAGATTAAGATTAAGAGATGCTTTATTCATCCCACAGTAGGGGAAATTTCAGTGTTGCACCGGTTACAGCAGGAATGAGGAACAAGACCTCTATACTAAAATGAAATCTCTAACTGGGACAAAGAGACAGGACACGTGCGGTTCTTTGCTTGAACGCCTTAGATGTAGCTTTGATGGAAGTTTTAGCCATGGATTTATTAGTTGTTACAGTATTTTTGGGATTATAAATCGCAGTTTTTGTCATAGTTTGGCCGGGGGTGTGGTTTTATACTCTGGAGCAATTTATGTGCAAATGGCGACGTGGCACGCTTTCTGCCAAAACAATTTCCAAGTGGTGACTTTTGTTACTTGCGTGGCAAAAAAAATGATTCTGATGTGAGAAATGATTACATTTTATATTGTCTTTATTTTAATTTATTTACCGTAAAACATCAAATAAATGCTAAAGTCATTTGAACTACTCTTACCCTAATATTTTCGTTTACAAACCAGACACGTTCACGCTTCATGTCTTTTAACGTACTCTTATGCAGCCTGTTCTTTATTCTGTTTTTTGTTTTAAATTGCCTTTCAAGATGAAGTGTCTATTTTTGGTGTTGGATTTATCAAATATATTTCCCCAAAAATTATCTCTGGTGCGACTGATATGTTTTTTTCCTTCTTCATTATGCATTTTCAGCTGGTGCGACTTACAGTATAATCTGAAAATTTTGGTATAAGCAATAACAGCAGTATTATGGATATTTCATGACACCTTTGAAGCCATGTTGGTTAAACCTAAGCTTGTCCTCAACACTGTACAGAGGCCCGGGGTTTTCCACTTTAATGTTTTCCACTTGAATCATTTTCTTCAGTATTAGTGGATCAGTAGTAGTTATAAGTAGTAGTAGTAGTAGTTTAGCCTGGCCTTATCCATCCGTTAACTTCGGCCAATTATTATTTTTCTACATGTAGGTCTGGGTCTGATCCTAGTGGCTGCTTGTACCTCGGTTGAATCCCCTCCGACCAATCAGAGAGCGGGGGAGGCGGGTGTTGTAGGTCGGTGTCGGTGACGTCAAGAGTTTGCAATATGAAAACTTGGCACTGTTTGGCACTGGCCTGAGTGAAGGGGTGAGGGGGTGGGGGGAGGGCAGAGCGGGATATCAACACCAGGGGCTATTGTCTCTGCCCCGGACCCCCCCAAACAAACACCCCCCATTCAGAGTCGTTCAGCAGGCGACACCTCTCCAGGACCTCCACGCTTCAGACCCAGAGCTGAGGCCGGGTGAGCGCAGAAGGGAGGGCTCATGTGTTCACTTTTGTTTATTCACAATGTCATCGAACAAGAGTAATGTGACTGGAGCTATTGTTTAAAGCAAGGCAAGTTTATATGTATAGCACAGTTCATACGTATGGCCACTCCCAGGGCTTTCCAGAACAAGATAGAACGATCACACTCAAGTCATTAAATCATAATTAATCACATTTTATACAAAAGTAAAGATACAATCCTTTAGTTGTTGCAGCTGAACAGAACTTTTTTTTTTTGATTCTCAGAGAAGAGGCCTGTCTCACATTTTCAGGAAGATTGAGATTTTAGCTGCATAAATATGAAACGCTGCCTCCTCATGTTTAGTACGGACTCTGGGACCAGCAAGAGGCCAGTCCCTGTGCTCCTCAGAGTCCCAGCAGGAGGCCAGTCCCTGTGCTCCTCAGAGTCCCAGCAGGAGGCCAGTCCCTGTGCTCCTCAGAGTCCCAGCAGGAGGCCAGTCCCTGTGCTCCTCAGAGTTGGTCCATATGGCTCAAACATGTCACTAATGTATGTTTGGTTCGAGGCTATAAAGAGACTTTATCAGAGACAATCAGAGCTGTTTTAAAGTCTATTCTCTGAGCCACAGGAAGCAGATACCTGACAACTGGACTAATGCGATGGTACTTCCTGGTTCTAGTCCGGACTAATGCGATGGTACTTCCTGGTTCTAGTCTGGACTAATGCGATGGTACTTCCTGGTTCTAGTCCGGACTAATGCGATGGTACTTCCTGGTTCTAGTCCGGACTAATGCGATGGTACTTCCTGGTTCTAGTCCGGACTAATGCGATGGGACTTCCTGGTTCTAGTCCGGACTAATGTGATGGTACTTCCTGGTTCTAGTCTGGACTAATGTGATGGTACTTCCTGGTTCTAGTCTGGACTAATGTGATGGTACTTCCTGGTTCTAGTCTGGACTAATGCGATGGTACTTCCTGGTTCTAGTCTGGACTAATGCGATGGTACTTCCTGGTTCTAGTCCGGACTAATGTGATGGTACTTCCTGGTTCTAGTCCGGACTAATGCGATGGTATTTCCTGGTTCTAGTCTGGACTAATGTGATGGTACTTCCTGGTTCTAGTCCGGACTATTGTGATGGTACTTCCTGGTTCTAGTCCGGACTAATGTGATGGTACTTCCTGGTTCTAGTCTGGACTAATGCGATGGTACTTCCTGGTTCTAGTCCGGACTAATGTGATGGTACTTCCTGGTTCTAGTCCGGACTAATGTGATGGTACTTCCTGGTTCTAGTCCGGACTATTGTGATGGTACTTCCTGGTTCTAGTCTGGACTAATGTGATGGTACTTCCTGGTTCTAGTCTGGACTAATGCGATGGTACTTCCTGGTTCTAGTCTGGACTAATGCGATGGTACTTCCTGGTTCTAGTCCGGACTAATGTGATGGTACTTCCTGGTTCTAGTCCGGACTAATGCGATGGTACTTCCTGGTTCTAGTCTGGACTAATGTGATGGTACTTCCTGGTTCTAGTCCGGACTAATGCGATGGTACTTCCTGGTTCTAGTCCGGACTAATGCGATGGTACTTCCTGGTTCTAGTCTGGACTAATGTGATGGTACTTCCTGGTTCTAGTCCGGACTAATGCGATGGTATTTCCTGGTTCTAGTCTGGACCCTGCAGCGTTTTAACCATTTGTTTTTAAACCTCCATTTTAATACATTTTAGGCTAAATAAATGTATACTGCACTGTTTCAATAATAAAATGCTGTATTGATGGTCATGAGTTTGGGGATTGACCGAAAGGACAAGATCGCGGATTCTCGTGGTCCATACGAGTTTCCTCCTCAGAGATGGGGTGAGGAGCTCGGTGTAGAGCCGCTGCTTCTCCACGTTGAGGTCGTTTT